GCACAAGGCCGTTTTTAATGCGGGGGAAAAATTTTATTTTTAATGCCGTTTTTAATGCTCGGGCAAAAATTCCCTGTATACACGGGGTCAGGTAGCTGTCTACAACCCCAGACGAAACTCTGCCCTTCGGCATAGCCTCGTCTGGGTTCCTCTCCGACCGAAGGCAGAGAGTTCGACCAGCTCAGCCGAAGACGAATCTCCAAGTAACTGTCGACGCAAGCCCCAGGTATATCATGTGCACATTATATATATCTACTGATATAGTCAGTCCACATAGGTGATCGGGAGTGTGGGACATTCCATTACAACACCTCCCCCTGGGCTAATTTTCTCATGAAATTTTGCTCAATACCTCTTCTTTTTGGGGTCAGTACATAACTGTTTGACTTTTTCCTCTTCCTAGTACTTTTCCGTCTCACCATTAACAATCTGACTAAAAGTATACTATGATCTTTTGTGCATATCTAGGTGACCCAAAGGTATATAGGAGTACTACCAAATTCTAGATGACGAGAGCCTGGCAACTGATCTCTCCTCTGACTTAGCTCAGTGGGGAAAAGCTGACTGGTCACATACAATGCAACAAAAACCAAACTAGTAACGTTCCATCGTCAACGAGAGGACCCTGAATTTTCGTCTATCGCGATGAACAGGTGTTCTCTTAGTGACGCCGTGTGCCTTGAACGCTAATTGGGATTTAAGCTAATACCAGACCTCGTGGAACTTATACATACGACCCATCGCTAACGATGCTGGAGAAAGGTCGGTTCCCTGTACCGCTCCAGTAAGTATCTGACTCCTTCTGCTATCCTCCACATTTACAGGGGCTAGATCAGTCCGGAAATGGAAAACTGCAGCCATATCTGGGAGGAGCTGTCCATTTTTCATTCCAGTATCAATGGCGTATACGCCACCTTGTGGATGAATAATTATTTTCCACTCTACAAACTCTTTGTCAGAGACGAAATGTTACAAGCTTCACTAATCTATCATTATTTCGATGGAAATTATTCCGACGAACTATATTCTTTAGGTCCACCACCTTCACAGGTAAGATGCAACATGCCACGCACATTGTAGCGAACTATCTTCATTCACTTCGTATTCCATTGGTGAAATTCAAGTGCCACGCGAACGGCTTCTTCCCACGAACCGTTACTTTTTGGAAATGACTTCCAAGATGTTTCCCTGATCATTACAATCTTAACCTGTCTAGTATTAACTGTTATCTTCACCACATATCCTCATAAACAGTGCCACTTACCGCTTACGCTGCAGTACTCTACCTCGAGTGGCTCTTTCTGCCTTTTCCAGGGTGGACATTATTGTAAAAAAAAATAATCTGACTGACAGCGCCATTATTAACTGACCGTCAAATAAGATAGATAAAGCAAAAGTACAAAAGCGATATTTTCTGTCTTAGTTACCTTAGAGGAGAACTATTTTTGCCTTCCATCAGTATGGCTGATGCCAACCTCCAGGTGGACAATTCGTTATACTTTCTCGGTTTCAGGTTTTTTATTGAAATGAAGTGAAACGATTATATTGAATCTATTCGCATGTCTGCTGCTAGGAATGTTGGTCGACTTTATCTTGCCGGACAATATTTCTCGCCAGAATCCATAAACGTATATAAATCTGCTATTCATCCGTGCATTGACTATTACTGCCTCGTCTGGTCTGATGTTCCTGTGAAGATGTTGTTAATAATCTAGAAATATCTTGCGATTCTTAACAGAATCCAAAGAACAATCTGTAAAGTTATGGGTCCTGACGTGGCTAACCTGTTTTTTTTTTTCCATAAATATTTTCTTGCCAATCGTTCCAATGAACTTTCCTCTTTGGTACCTTAAGGTCATAAATTTGAGCGTTGTACAAGATTGGCAACTAGGTTTCATCGTTTTACTGTTGAAATAGCTCGATGTAACCGTTCGTTCTATTAAAATAGTTTATTCTCTCGCACTTCTTAAATGTTGAACTCTCTTCCAGATTCTTACTTTCCTGTCAACAAAAGGCTTTAAAAATGTAACCACTGCCAGTCTTTCTGAATCCTGTCCTTTTATTATTCTTTCACATCACTAACGTTTTCTCATTTTCTTTTACTCCTACTTAACCCTCACGACTTAGTGGCGTTATCGCCTTGCTTGTGGTGAAATGATACAAAACAAAAATTAAAGAATAAAGAAAATCGTTTCTTTTTCTAATATCTAATGGAAAGAAAAAGTCTGTTATTTTTGCTCGCTTTCTTTGTTTAATTATCGTTTTTTATTGCTTCTGTTTTTATCTTTACTTTGCTTTCTTTATTTTTTCCCCTTTTTGAGCACCTTCTGTAATTCTTTTAACATATGTGACCTATCTTTTTTTAGCTGTTGTTTTCCCTTCTTTAACAAAGTTATTCAAAACGTAATTACATTTATTCAAATTTATATTACACCGTTATTATGATACCATTATATTATATGATTGTTATCAATTTTCATAAATGTCTAAGTATTGCATAAAACGACGGGGACATATTAAATGCTGAAAACGTTGCATGACATGATTTGTTGTTATTCCATATTGCCCGAAGTTTCATTAAAATATCACTTTGTTTGGTATCAATATTGTAATGTTCCGTTTTTTGTTTTTTGTTGTTTTTTGTTTCTTTTAATCTCAGGTTTCGAATTGTAGAGGTAGAGTTTCTCTACCGGTATCAATCGACATTTTTGGACAAATTCATATCATTGCTTACGATGTTTCTTAACCAAATCAGCTTACATTTCATTGAAAACTTACTGTATTTCGTTTTATTTCACCCTTGATTAATATTTTCTCTGCTTGCGTGTTGCTGACCTCACGTCTACCAACAATAAAGAGAAAAGCAAATAATCGGATGAAACGATTTTCAACATTTGTCGTCAGATACTAATTCTTGGAACTTTAAATGAACGCATCGTCCATCCTTGAATTTGGAACGTAACGAATTTCTTTAACAAGTCGAATGCACGGAAAAAATTAACCAATGAAAATCAAACAACACAAAAGTAAAAATACCAGAGTGTCTTTCTTTTTCTCCATATCTCATTCACTGATGAAGCTTTAATAAAAGTGAAACGTGTTTGTTTTTATTTTAGAGATACTAATAAAGGGTGATCCAATAACCTGGACCGATTTTAAATGTGAATTAATTTTAAGCGTCTAACGATTTTTTTTTCTTTCAGATTTAACAACTTAAGTCTTTGACAATTTCAACCATGGAAAGATTAACAAACAAACAACGTGTTAAAGTTATCGAAGCCTATTACGAAAATGGGCGTTCAAACAGAAATGAATGAGAAATTCCCAAGTCGCATCATCTCTCAAAACAGCGAAGTCAATTGGCCACCACGATCGTGCGACTTGACGCCTTCAGATTTCTTCCTTTGGGATCATCTTAAAAGTAAGGTCTATGTCAACAAGCCAACAACAATTCAACAGATCAAGGATGAGATAATAAGGCATATTGGTGAGATCGAGGAGCAGCTATGCAGAGACGTCTGAAGCCTTAGTGGACATTTGGGAGATATTATTTTTCACACATAATTACCATGATTTAAATAACATGATCCAATAGAGAAATAGATAAATTTTTGCCAATAACAATGATTTATTTACTGCTGACTTTGATCCGTTTTAATGAAAAACCCTTTATAAATATTTTATATTATTTTAGAATCAATTAGGTTTTTTTTTCTTATACAAATCATTATGTACTGCGGCTCGTTGGAACGTGGGTGATCATAGCTCCTCACAACTTGTTGGTCTTAGCAAGCTTTGACTCATTATCGTTTCTTCTTGTTCCTTCTCTGTCATCCATTTAAATAAACCCTTTAGGTAAATTGCTTGCTGTTTCTCTCAACATCTTCTTCCCTTAATATGTCTTATGAGTATTAGGTTTTCCAAGCTGTCCTCCCCCATAATGTATCCCAGAAACATCAACTTTTTTTTTATTCTTCTAGTTCCTGTATTTTAAAACTAATTCGTTTCATATATGTCTCGTGCATGGTATTCGCAGCATCCATCTGTAGAACCACATCTTTCTTGTTTAAGTCTCTTCTTCATCTGTGAGTAACTGCCCAGCATCCACAGCCATGTGGATAGATATAGCATAAGAGTTCAGCAACCATTTCTTTTTTTCTAGCGAAATATCCCGATGTTACTTTGCTTACTTTGCTTACTTCCTTTATTGCTTCAATATAAAGTTAATAATAATAATAATGATAATAATAATAATGGCGACTCGTGTTACTCGTCTACTACCGTGGCTAGCTAATCCCTATTTCAGACGCTTGCTCAGACGCATTTTGTGTTTGTTCAACACACACAGAGCCCACCTTTGGTTTATACTGCAACTATGCTGAGCAAATCTAGTTAGAGTATCTCGGAGAGAAGCGTGTTATCTAGCGTGATCAAATATCTGAACAAAGTCAACACGCTCAAATCCTCAGTCACGAAGAGTTGTAACTGCGTGCTAGGGTTTCGTCTACCCAATTTTCTTCACAAGTCTTGGGTCAACTCGTCAATTTCCAAATATGCCGCGCGCTAAGATCGCCTCCTCCAGACCGAAAGTCAAGAAGCCACCATCCTGATAAATTCGAACCCGGGTCTCATGGTTAGAAAGCCACGTGCCCATATATACAAAGTTATACATTGGAATAAATATAGCAAAATTTTGAATAAAATGAGACAGAAATCCGAAGACGAATTGGATTGATTGATTGATTCGTTTTCTACGGCTTATCAACCATTCGCAGGTTATTTAAAGCCAGAAAATATTTTTAGATTGTAATTTTGTTTTTGATAATAATGGTTTACTGATACAAGTCTTACTAATTAACCCAAAGCTAGAGGGAGAAGCGGTAGATTCATGACTTTCCCATAAGTGAATATAACGAATCAAACTGGAATTCGAAATCAGCTTTCTGATTTGTAATTCCGAGTCATTATCCATTACACCACCCGTCCATTAAAACTTACAGCAACTTTCCCAAGTAGTCACCCATCTATGTACTGACCAGGCTAGACGTTGCTTAAATTCGGTAATCGTACGGGAACTGATGTTTCAACGTGATGTGGCCGTAAGCCAGAAGACGCATTGGAATAGCGAAAGTGACTTTCAAAAAACATAAACAAAATATTAAGTAACAGGAATATTTCGGTGGACACAAAGATAAAAGTGCTCAACTGTTATGTAATATCAATTCTTCTTGGGTAACTTCCTCACAGCTGAAAAGAATAACTGAGGCAACAGAGATGGGGTTCAACAGAAGAATGCCAAGAATATCAGGGACGGAAAATGTGAGTAATGTGGAAGTTCTAAGGAAAACGATGATGAGATGGGCACTTTTGCTTAAGATCGGAAAGAAGTAATTGAAAATTTCAGGAAACATAACGAGGAAAGAGGGAATGGAAAATACAACACTCACATGACATATTGAAGGCAAGAAGAGCAGAAGGAAATATCGAGTAACTTATCTAACGGAAGGAAAAGCAGAGCATGAACTAAGAAAGATAGTAAGGGAACAAATATTACTTAGATCTACAAAAATCAGGAAGTTGTGGAGAGCCATGAACATACACATCCTGAATGGGCACGGTACATAATAAACTTATGATTTACAATAACTTCTGTAATGTTGAGGGATTCTATAATCAAGCGCGCCAATTCCCTCCGTGAAAACAATATGAAGGCAACGGATGAAAGTGAAAGGCACAAAGACGAGACGAGATAAGTGAAAAGGCTGGTGAGGGTGTATGATGGGTACTTGTAAAGCCGAGTGGGTGCTGCAACTATTTCAGCATTCCCTGAATATAACCCGACGGCAGCCTTTTTCCTCCCACGCATTACCTCCACAGGAAGGCAGAACGGCACCAAATGCTGGGTGGAAAGGGAAAATGACAGTCACAATGCAACAAGACAGACATACTTAAGAAAACAGAGACACATACCGACACATGTGCTGTTTCACACCCCCGCACATTTTTGTTTGTCATTTTTTTTGTTTTTCTTTAAACATTATTTTTTTTTTTTATCGGTTTTTCTTTCTTTTCACTTTCGCGCGTTCTTTAATTTTCTTTCAACTCTCATCCTGTTTAACGCTTTTCGTTTCCATTCTCTTTATTTATTAGCTTCTTTCTTAACAACTTTATTATCGTTTTCCTCTCACATTTTTTTGTTTATTTGTTCGTTTCCGTATAACGCACCTCCCACCTCATGCTCCTACTTTCTTTTATTTACTTTTATATATTTATTTTATTTATTTATTTATTTTTATTATTTATTTTATTTATTTATTTTTATTATTTATTTATTTTTCTTGGTTCATTTTCACCGATTTTCTTTACTGCAGTATCATTACGTTCTGCAATGTTCATCAAACTTCTATTTCATACATCCAATTAAATTTCAACTCGGCTTGGGATCAAAGCGTGGTATGTGTTCTCATTTTAGATGGGAGAAGGTACTTTGACTTGGACATTCCAATCCTGCGACAGCGACTTCGTCATTGCATTAAGATAGGGTCGGTGTAGTATCGATGCCAGCGTAACACTGGTTGCGGGGACTGGGCATTTATTGTCCTTATGTACGCGTATGGGCTCCCCGCATAAAATGACGGTGTGTCATATCCTAGATTAAGAAAAAATAAATAAAAGCGACTCTCCAAGATTATATATATATATATATAGTGAGAGAGAGTTGAATGGATATGAGTTTGTGATATCCATTCAACTAAATATGTTATATAGAATTTATATATATATATATATGTACACACATTATACATATTATACGCACACACGCACACACACACACACACACACACGCACACACACACACACACACACACATATATATATATATATATATATATATATATATATATATATATATATATATATAGGTAACTCCAAATATTATCTAAAAATAAGTATAAATATTTTCATTAAATAATGAATTTCTAGAAGAATTGTTTTCATTTTTAAAAATTTTAATTAGAATATTTTATAAACATTAAAAAAATTTACAATTCTTTATTAATTTGTATCGGTCAAGTAATAGAATAAAAACTGTATTTACAAATCATAAATGGATATGCTTATTATAATTTATCGTCTCCTAGTATTTTGAAAAGAATATTGATTTTGTGTGTGGTTGTGTGTGTATAAACGTGCCGGTTTTTGTAAATACAAACATCCGTACACGACATTATCCGAAAATAAGAGGGGTAACTATAATAAATTTAAATTTGATTAGTAATTTTTATAAGTAACACGATAATGTCAAAGTACCTAAAATTCAATCAAATATTTGATTGCTTAAAATATTTAGAATTTTAAAGTTTACTGGGTAGTTAATATATATATATATATATATATATATATATATATATATATATATAAAGGCGTTTACGATATGTTCGTCATGCAGTTTTCTAATAGCTATTGCCTCCTCAGACAAATTCCCAAAGTTGTCGATTAATGCGTCAACATCTCACAGAAATACCTTTTCCGTGTTAAAAAAAAAATGCTTTTTGTGATATCTTAAACCAAAAGTAATTAATATTTGTTTCAATTTATATTAATTAGATTTTAAATGAGCTATTGCTTTTCTCAAATAACATGTCAGAAAAGTATATTTTATTTTTGAAAGATATTTTGATAAAGAGAATAATGTTGTGTTGACAGATGCGTCAATATGAACGACTTAAGCGATTTTACTAATAAAAAAAATATTTCTAAACTTGCTTCCTGTTTAGAATTGGGTTTCCAGTTCCTTCTACAGACTTTTAATTCTCTTTCACTCCTAGCATCCCCTTGCGTTTTTATAGCATTATTGCCTTGCATGGGGTGAATTGATTTAAAAAACAAATGTAAATTAAATTTGAAAGACAGCAAATTATCTTGCTTATTGTAAATATTTAATTTGAGTTTGCAAGTAGACTAAAATAATTGGAGGTACATACATACATCCATCCATACATACATACTGAGCTAGCACGACGTCACAAGTCATCGTGACCGAGGGTTTGAGTGTGCTGGCCTTGTTTGATGACACCAGATAACACGCTATCTCCCAGAAACTGCAACTAAGGTCTGCTCAGCATAGTTGCTGTATAAACCACAGGTTGGCTCTGTGGGTGCTGAACAAACACAAATGTGCCTGAGCGAGTGTCTGGAACAGGGATCATAATAGATCGGTATTCTCGAATACGAGTGGCCACCTATTATATATATATATATATATATATATATATATATATATATATATGACAAGTTACTTTTCTTAAGCTGCATACGGAGACATTTAAATCAAGATGGCATTATACCAACCTGGACACACATCATCTTCTATATGGCGCGTTTGTTCAGGACAAAGGTGATCATAGTTCCCCACAACTTTCTATGCTATGTGGTTATTAACCTTTTTCTCCCTTTGCTAAGGCCCCACTTCAAAGAAATTCGCCATGTAAGTGACTCACTGCATTCCCTCATATCTCTTACCCTCAATATACACCATAAGCTTTAAGTTTTCCAAGCCCTCCTTTCTCATTATGTCAGCTGTCTTTACCCGATTCTTAGTATACAACATCTTTCTGTTGCACTTTTTCCTTAAGACATCTTCGTTGCTTATTCACTCCGTTCATGGAAATCTCAGTATCCTTCTGTATAACCATATTTCTGCTATCTCCAATTTTATCTGCATTGGTGGAAAGCATTCACAGTAAAATAAGAGCATGGATATCATATAGCAACCCAGCACTCTTTTTTTTTTGTTCCTAACGATATTTCTCCGTCTTTCAATACTTCAATACTTCTTTCCCAAGTCCAATACGTATTCGGATTTCGGTGTCGCAGTTTCCATCCTCTGTTAAAACATTTCCCAGATATTTAAGCCTCTGCAGCTTCTCGACTTTGACAGCTCCAGTTTGTAACAAGTATCTTGGGCTTTTTCTCTTGCTAATGACCAAACTTTCTGTCTTTTTGAGTGTTATATAGGAATAAAGTATCTCTGCCGACACTGTGGTTTGAACATAGATCGCTAGAGAGCAAACACAGGCGATCCCATTTTGATTAAGTAGATTACATGATGGCAAAGGAAATGTATATATAGGAATTAGCGTGGTGTCGAATTGATCATTATTTCTACACTATCCTCTATTACTATACAGCTCGCTATTATCTATACTGTTCACTATACTATTTCTCTATATTGATGTCTATACGGATTTCTATTCGGATCAATATTCGGTGGTTACTATTCGAGCGAGGATTATTGATTAAGTACTATTCGTGCAAGTGTTATTCGAAGGCGTCTGAAACAAGTATTGTTTAACGGCATTAATATAGTTGTATCTGCGATTACAAAGTCTCTACTACAACGAGCATTACGAAAGTGACAACGATTATTTATTGAAATTACAAAAGTGGCAACGAGTGTTCGTTGACATCACAAAATTGAGGTTGATGATTGTAAATATAAAATTAATCTTGTAAATAAACAGTCTAACAACTAAAGTTCGTAATATTTTTCTTCTTAAAATTCTAAACTTTTTAAAAGGGTGAACATTGCTGAGAGAGTCGATTTATAATATTTTATCAAGGGAAAAAACCATTTTATTACAGACTTTTTTTTTGAGGGGGGCTCCGTATTAAAAAAAACATTACCCTGCATCTGGTGCCATAAAATTTCTAGGATATATTTGAACAGTGATTGGATGTGAAATCTTTCACAGTCAATCTAGAATGATAAAATATATGTGACTATGCGGGAAGCCCCACGCATATTTTCCGGTTTAAGATATATTAAATTATAACAAAATTGTTAATTTCAACACTCACAATCATTCCTAAAATAGACTAGGCCTGAACTTGAACACAGCTCGTTAGTTCTACTTTTACACTACTCACACATTTATTCGGATAATTAGATTTTAACAATGTTTTCATTCCATCTTGCTTTATTTATTTATATTCGTGTAATACTAAAATCATTCACGTATTTCTCCTATCTTTACTTTTTCCAAATGTTTGGGACGCATTAAGAGAAAAGAGGACCTGGAAAATCTGACACTCACAGGATA